TGTAAACCACAAAAATAATGACCAACCTGCAGCAGGACTGGTGGCATTCAGGGCATCAGTTAAAAATCGTGGACCAACTAAACCAACTACAAGTACGCACAATGTTTTTAAATCAAGAAGGATACAATTAATCTGCAGGAGCTGTCTGTCAATGTCTAATCTTAGAACAGTAGACTAGTGCAAGTGAGTCAAGCCAACACAAAACTGTAGCAGAGTCTGTATTATTGTGGGTGTCATTCAAATTTAAGGGATAATCTGAAACAAACATCCAATATTGACCATCTTTCCAATTTTTAAGCATGTACACAGTAAACTAACACTAATGGCCTTCCAATGACAAAACAATTATTTGCACCAACCTTCAGCAAGACTGGTGATATTCAGAGCATAATTTAAAGGAGTTGCACCACCTGAAATATAAAGCACATCCAGGGTTTACATTGTGCAGTACAGATTCCATATAAATGACCGTAACAATACAAAAAAAATAATAATCAAAGAATTTCACACACCAACCATCCTGGGATTTACAAGGGAGTTAAGAATAATGATGGAATTCATATTCTACCAATGGAAAATAATCTGAGTCACTCAGTGACCACCAACCTGGAGCAGAGCTGATGGTATTGAAGGTGTCATTTAAATATATGGCATTGTCTGAAACAAACATCAAGTTTCGCTTTTTGAACAGGCAGAGTTATATTAACACTGATGACTTTCCAATGACATAACCCACAGAAACACATTAGCACAAACGTTCAGCAAGACTGCTTTCATTCAGGGCATCATTTAAAGGAGCTGTGCCAACCGAAATGGAAGCAGTGTTTATAAAGCGCACGAAACAAAATACTAAATCTGTTCTTTGGTTATACATAACCATAGAAATGGTACAATCCTCTAAAAAAAATTGTTTTGGGAAAGTAACAAATGTATAAGAGTGCTAGTGAATTAACCAGATGCCAACCTGGAACAGAGCTCGTAGCGTTCAGAGTGTTTTCTAAAAAAATATGATGATCTGAAAGGCAAAGACCAGTATTGACAATTTCCACTTTTAAGCATGTACAAAATATATTGGACAATAATGGCTTTCCAAAGACATAACTCTAAAATAATTTCAAACCAACCTTCAGCAAGACTGCTGGCATTCAGAGCATCATTTACAGGAGTTGCACCCACTGAAATGAAAATCCAGTACATATATTTCATATAAATGACCGTAACAATACCAGAATCAAATATTCTGGGTTACTGGACAGCCATTGTATGCAGTGGTCCACACTAAATAATACCAGATGCACAACAACCACCCTGGAGACAGTTAAGTGGACTGGATTCATGATCTAGCAAATGAAAAATATTCTGAGTGATTCAGTGAGCACCAACCTGGAGCAGAGCTGGTGGTATTCATGGTGGGATTTAGAGAAAAGGCATAATCTGAAATAAAAATACAGCTAATATCAATGATGTTTCCACTTATTTTAAGGGTGTAAAGAACTTTCAGCATATGACACAAATACCGGGGACCCATGAAGCAAAAAATATTCTGTCTGTAGAAACTTCTATTGTATCAAGTGTTAGAAAATCTTTAAGTCATCATTGTATTCTAGCAAATCTAAAAACAGTGCAAGTGCATAAACTGATCACAAGTCTGGAGCAGAGCTGGTGGCATTGTGGGCGTAATTAAAAAAAACATCACATCAAAAATCTCTCATGTCACAAGTAAGGGGAACTGCTGCACATCTCACACTGCATCCACCCTGAAATCCACACACACCCACCCCCACACAAAAATAGGCACTAACTGAAAGTGACACTTTCAATATCTTAACTACATTTGGAAATGTTATTGATTATGAATTAAAAAACAAACAAACTCTGGAGCTTACCTCTTGGAGTCGCTGCAGTGGTGCTCTCATACCCACCCGTGGTAGTGGCATTTAAAGAAACATTACCTACAAAAATGTAGAATCCTCAGATTTGTTATATTGCAGCATATGCAAATCAAACATGCAAATGAATTTAATGAGCACCAACCTGCGAAAGGACCGGCGGGACTGATAGGAACACTGCCAACTACATACACACAAAAACATTATCACTATTAAGCTAAAAATCCATACTTTGCAGTACATATGTTTTTAGGCTGTACCTGTTGACAGGCAGAAGGCGGCCAGCAGCCACATAATGCAGCAGGACATCTTTTGGCAAAGAGAAAAGCTGTAACAGGTGTTGTCTCTCTGATATAGACATGTTACTATCTCCACAGGTGTCATCACTTCCACTGATTACAACGTTCCAAACTAAAATTAAACCACTAGATGGTGCTACATTATTTTTGGTTGGCAGTGTAGGAAGAGACATTTCACAAGGAGGCGATATAACACTCAAACAATCTTGAATTGAGATTATGGGAGAGACAGCAAAATGTCATTTATTATGCATTTGAGCTGGATATCATGCCTTTTTTTAATGTGTCATATCATGTATTTGTTCTCTAATGCCCTTGCTTTGTGGAGGTCATGGGACTCTAATGTGGTTGCAAAATATATGTGTTCACCTTTTTGTCCACTTGTGACTCACCTGTAAATCTGCTGTCCAATAAAATCCAAATAAACAAGAACTACTTTTAAAGGACCCTCATAGCTCTTCAACTCTTCTTCATATATATTCTGGAGATCTATGACTGCTTAAATTAATTTTTTTTTAAAATGAATACTGGAAGACAAAGTATTTTTAAATAAATGACTGCTGTGCAGCAGTGGTGGCGTGGTTAGCACTGTTGGCTCACAGCAAGAAGGTCCTGGGTATGACACTGGCTAAAGTATTTCATGTTTGTGTGGCGTCTCTCCACTTCCTCCCATAATGCAACGATGTGCCTAGGTTAGGTTGCTGTAACAATAACAGCAGTAAATACCTCAGATTGCTTAGCTGGCTCTGAACCAAGGTTGTCAAACACAGGGACCTGAACCAGCTTGCAAACAAATGTAATCTGGATATTTTTGCAAAGGTGAATATTTTTTGGATTTCATTATATCTTCACTGTTAATTTCATCCAAATCACAGGCCTGAATTATTGCTAATTTTATAGCCTTATTACTGACAGAGGCAGTACCCACAGCCTGGTATACTAAACTAACAAATAACAGATTAAATGTAATAAACTGAAAGTTTATTACTTTGTAAACAAGTAAGTCTGACACCTTTCCCAGTTTCGTTGCTCGAGCATGACCACAAGATGGCGCAAAATGAAAACCTGGAGAAGCTTATTTAATTGTATTTAATGTATTTTGGTCCTGAACTGCAGTTTAGTCACAGCTATGTTCGCTATCAGACTGAAGGATGTCTCACAGTAGAATCCTCTAATAAATGTTGTCAATGTTTCACGAGTGGAAGGTTAGAAGTCAATGAAGCGACTTCAGAAATGGATTGACCTGTAAGACAAACTTCAGGGCTAAATACTTCGAGTCAACCTCTTGGCTATGTGTCATGAGAAATGTCGCATTCATGTAACGTCGGACATACAGTGACGTATTTGTAACTAGAAAAATTCAACTTGTTTATTCTGTCACTTGGAGAATCACAAGAGTGATAAAATCTTTTCTTGTTGTTAATTCATTTTTTAATCAATAGTGATGCATTGGGGTGCCTAACATAAGTAGGTTTGATAGGTACATACGTTTGATAGTTACAATAGCTCAAGTCATGATTGTGTGACATGGGTTTTTTGTTAGTGAGTAGCACTGTGTTGTAAATTTGTTCTGTTGTGTATTTTCTTGATTAACTGAAAAATGATTAAATCTAATTCAGCCCAATTACAGTTTGTTTATCTAAAACTACAGCCCAACAGTCGTCTCAAGTCATCAAATGCAAATATTAGCAATTAACTACGGTTTAGAGTTTGTGAAGTTTGAAGTGATGACTTGGAAAAGAATCTGGTTCAGCACAGCACAAAACAGTTACAATAATAACAAATGGTTAAAAAAATATGTGTGATTTTTAGTTTAAAGTGGTTTATTGCATGTGGGATTAAAAAAATAAATTCAAATTCAAATTCAAATTTTATTTGTCACGTACACAGTCATACACAGTACGATATGTAGTGAAATGCTTGGACAACTGCTCGTGACCTAAAGAAAACAAAAAAGGAAAAGGCTATGAATAAGATAGGAAATAAATATGAAAAATTAAAAAGGGTAAATTTAACTAGGAAGGAATAAAATATAAATTAAGGTTAAAAATGAAATAACTGTACAACACAAATTAGAATGAAGGGTAAATTTAACTGGGAGAATAAGATAAAATATATAAATTAAAGTTGAAAATAAAATAAAATAACTGTACAACAAAATACACAATATAGAGTTATAGAAATATATCAATAAAACAACATCAGTAAGACACGTCATTTTTAGGATTTGTTGGACATCAATAAAAATATTTCAACACTTTAAAAAAATTACAATTTTTAAAAATCCATATAATGTCTTACCCTTTAACACAAAAAATCATGAAAATGAAAGAAGAAGAGTTAATGTGACTGTTGCTACTGTTAATGCTACTTGTTGCTAGTTTCCACATTCATAAATGTAAATTTACAATTACTTGCTATATGTCCTCACGTATGATCATTTTCTCGTTATTTTGTTTGTCCTTTTCTGTTTGACACATTGCTTTTGTTTCTATTGTTTGTTGGTTTGTTTGATTTGTTTGGTGTTTTTTTTGTTGTTGTTTTTTTCATTTGTAACCTTTCCTAATGGTTCGCTTGTGTATTGGCTTGCATGTTTACCTAACAAGCAGCAGATATCCGGGAGGAGACATAAATTCCTTCTGTGGCCACCTGTTGTGAAGAAGTAGGCAAAATTGTTTTATTACCCCTGGCTATTACTTACATCACACTTGACACTTGACACTTTTTCACGCGTTTTCAGATGTCAGATTTTTCTCACAGACCGCGAACGCCCCTTCAGTCAACATCATGAGAGTCATGTGATGTCCTGTCATGTGATGAAGTCACTTCCTACTGATTTGGTGAGGAGCAGAAACACTCTGCTGTATCATGTCGTCTTAGTTAGGCTCCACAGACGTTACCCGGTACAGTAACCATCATGTTTGGGTATAAATGTTCTCGCTTCGAGCCTCTGAAGCTGGCTCTGTGGTTCGCGGCCTTTCTAGGCTGTTTGTTGGTTCGGTCCGGAACGACGGAGAACAACAGCCCGTGGTACCAGGACCTCTGCAGGTAACAACACACACATACACACCTTCTGGGTGTACAAACACTGCAGCTGCTGACAGATTAACAGCGTTAAAGGTGCAGCCGTTGTCCTCTCGTGTACACACATCGTCTAAATAAACTGAATTGAGAAATATGTCTACTAATGCTTATTTCCAGTCATAGGTAGGTTTTTTTTCTTATTTAGCAAACAGCCTAAATAAGTTTGAATCAGCTAGCAAACCAGTACAGCTGAATCAGACTACCCCTGAAACTCACATACCGTCGATGCTAGTTAGTTTTTCTTGTTTATCGAGGAAAAAAGTGAAGCTTAGCTATAAATGCCGAAACGTGCACAAAACTGCCGTGCTTAATTGGGGAATGTTAAACCTTAGCAACATTGCGTTTTTCTCACAGAGCAGCGGCGTATTTATATAAATAAACGCACCGGAAGAGAATAACAACATAAATATGGGAGTTAAAATAAAGTCAGCGTTGTCCTTCTTTAGTGGAGCGGTGTCTCAGTAGCTGCTGTTCAAATATTGACTCAGCAATAAAGCGCAAATGATAACCCGGTGACTCAACGCTTAGGTTCAGCCTGGGTTTATATTACTTCCTCGATTTGGCAGCTTCCGAGGACCTTGGTTAGAAACACACATGGCTTACAGTTAACTTCTCCCTTAGTTTCTGTTCCTCGTCTGTTCCTTTACAGTCTGGTTTAGGTCAATAATCCGTATTGATAAATGTGGGATTACTCCTTACGTTCAGAGAACACGGTGTATTTGCGTATTTTTTAGGTTTTACAGCACCTGTTTTATTAGGAAAAACATAATATCACACAATACCATATCACGTTATACCCAACAGGGGGGAAATAATGATGCTAATGATTAATTCATATTTTAATAAAAGTGAAAATGACAAGAGCATTTCTGAACTGTTGGAATTTTTAGTATACAACCATTAAATACTGTCCTCACTTCTGTGTCATAAAAAGATTACTTCAATATTAGTTAAAAATCAGAAGTGAAACCGTGTGTGTGTGTGTGTGTGTGTGTGTGTGTGTGTGTGTGTGTGTAAGACTTGCACATGTGTTTTCCACACTCACTGAAATGGAAGCATGGGGCTTTTAAAAATTATTTTATGACCTCCTCCTTTCTTATCTCTGTTTTTAATCCCAGTTGGTTTAATCTCACTTAACTCAGATTAGTCCATTTTGTTTATTGTTATTGTTACATTTGTTTGTTAAAGAAAAGAATGCCTTAAATTTAAGTTTTAGGTATTTAGAGAAAGGCATCAGTTATTTTCTGCCAAGGATCGAAGTGGTAAATTTAGAAGAAGATAATTTAAAACTCGAAGGCACGTTTGTATTTCTTGTTTTGTCAAATCAGAAGTCCAAGCTTCAAATTTACTTAAAGGTTGCGTGATGGAAAAAGCTGAAAAACGTACATTTGCAAAGCACGAACCGTAATTTTTACATAAATGCTGTACTTCTGTGAACCACTAGATATTTTAAACTGTCATTTATATGTCACTGTGTTTTTGCTATACAGATGAGTGTGATTTATTTTATAGGAGAAATAAGTAAAAGAACACGAGTCACAGTATAAATTTTTAAAGATTCATTTCCCATTTGTTCATTGTAACTATTTTAACAATGTTCAAAAAATTTACAGCCCAAAACAATGACTTATCTTTATAGTAGCAGTGGAAATGATAGTCATTTGTGGTCCCAGACTGTAATTTTGTGGGGTCGGGGCCAACAAGCTCATTTCCTGGGTATCTATTTGCTTATTGTCTTCTATTCCTTGTCTTGCAGATATAAATGGGAGGCAATAGATCAAGATAATAAAGTGAGATATACACTAAAGCTCTGTGACTCTTCACCACCAACCAGCTGTGGAGCTGACACTGCCATGTGTTTACGAAACCTCACAACCAACAAAGAGCAGTCTGTTGGTGAGTTTTCTGTCTGCCTTGTTCTTTATGTGGGTTATAGTGCCCACCAACCTGCCCACTGTTTGTTAGCTGTTCCTCCTCTTGCTGTCCCATCATGCTGAAGAATAACTGTTCTACACAATTCATGATTCTGGTGCAGGGGGTAAAATGCTCAGTTCAGTGTTTTGTTTTGTTTTTTAAACCTGTCACTATCATCTTAAGCCTGAGATCCAGTATTAGTATCCATACAAAACACAATCATCATAGCAGGCTGGCTTCGTGTTACTAACTTTCTACATACACAGCAGGCTAACCACAGTGATCAACTTCTCTTTGATTTTCTTGTTGAATGGACAGGCAGTCATCTCACTCTCTCGGGTTATTTTCATGACTTTAGCTGATTAGCTGGCACTTGAAAAGTTTTTCATGCCAAACACTGCAAACTAAGCAAAACAACAAATTCACAATTCAGTTTGGGTGATGCACGATGTCATCCCCATTGAAAGTGGATGAGAGATGCTGATTTAAAGCCTGAAATGCATAATCCTGCATATGTTGCTCATCAAAAAAATGGATGACCTCTACCATACATTAAGATATGCTCCAGAAATGCCCCTAGAAGCACAAATGTGCTGGAGCGATGCAGTTAACTAATTTAAAGTAGAGAAGATGAGACCTACGTGCATGTATCAGGACACCTGTCAGCCACAGCAGCCATGGCTTTAAAGCTTTAAGAAGATCCAAATGGAGAAGTTATTCCCTATATATACGGATAGACTGTAAAGATGCTTTTTAGTGCCGTTAGGTTGGGTATACAGCTTGATGGCTGTTGGCTTTGAGGTTTTTGTCCAAAGGATTTTGAAAACTCTCAACAGCAAAAAGGGTGGAAGATGCTTCATGTAGTAGAAAGCTAACACAAACAGTCTACTTCTTGAGTCAGACTGTTCTCACTACAACCTACTGAGACAGACATCCACCCACCACTGGTCTGGTTTTATTTGGGATCCTTTCAACAATAGTGTAAAGTGCCCTGGGATGACTTATCTTATTATTTGGCTCTATATAAACAGCACTGAATTGATGTCAGTAGGACAGCGTCTTGAATCACAAATCAGCCAGGCATGGCAGCATCCAGATGGCTCATTATAGTAGTATAGTGCTAGTAATATAGAAACTCAGTATGTTGTCTTCAGCGTGAATACAGTGCAATTTCCATGATAGTACTACAGCAAGACGCTACGTTAAGTAACTTTCGCTGTTCTGAGAGCGATGTTTATTGTGTGGCCAGTGATAGTGCGTGCGCGCGCGCGCGTGTGTGTTTGGCTAAGAGTTAAAGGAAATGAGTTAATCTAATTCCTGCTAATTTGAGAGTTGAGTTTTAGGCGTTGGCTTTAGGCTTGTATGGAAAAACAAACAGGTTACTGCTGACTGAAAATCCTCATTAGTTGGTGTCCTGTGCACATTCAAGCATCTTATTGCTGTAAAAAGGATTTTATCTTACAATCATTTTGGTCTGTTTGCAAGCATGCTGTTAGCTGTGTCTCATGACAGTCACACGGCAGAGTGCTTTACAGATCGTTAATGGGGATGTGTTGAAAACGTGTACATCCTGTGGATGCTAAATATTATATTTTACGCACAATTTGGTAATATGTGCACTCTTCATTTTGTGTCTGAATGACGCATGAAACTGGACTTTGTCTTGAACCTTGAAGTCCTGCTAAAAGGCAAATGTTTTGTAGAGAAAAGTGTGTCTTCTGTAGAACTGATCTTTGTTTTGTTTGTTTGGTCTAGAATCCTAATATAACATGTGTCTTTACAGGGTCAAAATTGTGAAAAGTCAGAGGGAAGGAAAGTGTTTTATTTATGTACTTATTTAAAAAACTTTTCCTCATACAAATTATTTGCTAACTACAGCTTGCCTATATACAGTGGGGCAAAAAAGTATTTAGTCAGCCACCGATTGTGCAAGTTCCCCCACTTAAAATGATGACAGAGGTCAGTAATTTGCACCAGAGGTACACTTCAACTGTGAGAGACAGAATGTGAAAAAAAAATCCATGAATCCACATGGTAGGATTTGTAAAGAATTTATTCGTAAATCAGGGTGGAAAATAAGTATTTGGTCAATAACAAAAATACAACTCAATACTTTGTAACATAACCTTTGTTGGCAATAACAGAGGTCAAACGTTTACTATAGGTCTTTACCAGGTTTGCACACACAGTAGCTGGTATTTTGGCCCATTCCTCCATGCAGATCTTCTCGAGAGCAGTGATGTTTTGGGGCTGTCGCCGAGCAACACGGACTTTCAACTCCCGCCACAGATTTTCTATGGGGTTGAGGTCTGGAGACTGGCTAGGCCACTCCAGGACTTTCAAATGCTTCTTACGGAGCCACTCCTTTGTTGCCCGAGGCGGTGTGTTTTGGATCATTGTCATGTTGGAAGACCCAGCCTCGTTTCATCTTCAAAGTTCTCACTGATGGAAGGAGGTTTTGGCTCAAAATCTCACGATACATGGCCCCATTCATTCTGTCCTTAACACGGATCAGTCGTCCTGTCCCCTTGGCAGAAAAACAGCCCCATAGCATGATGTTTCCACCCCCATGCTTCACAGTAGGTATGGTGTTCTTGGGATGCAACTCAGTATTCTTCTTCCTCCAAACACGACGAGTTGAGTTTATACCAAAAAGTTCTACTTTGGTTTCATCTGACCACATGACATTCTCCCAATCCTCTGCTGTATCATCCATGTGCTCTCTGGCAAACTTCAGACGGGCCTGGACATGCACTGGCTTCAGCAGCGGAACACGTCTGGCACTGCGGGATTTGATTCCCTGCCGTTGTAGTGTGTTACTGATGGTGACCTTTGTTACTTTGGTCCCAGCTCTCTGCAGGTCATTCACCAGGTCCCCCCGTGTGGTTCTGGGATCTTTGCTCACCGTTCTCATGATCATTTTGACCCCACGGGATGAGATCTTGCGTGGAGCCCCAGATCGAGGGAGATTATCAGTGGTCTTGTATGTCTTCCATTTTCTGATGATTGCTCCCACAGTTGATTTTTTCACACCAAGCTGCTTGCCTATTGTAGATTCACTCTTCCCAGTCTGGTGCAGGTCTACAATACTTTTCCTGGTGTCCTTCGAAAGCTCTTTGGTCTTGGCCATGGCGGAGTTTGGAGTCTGACTGTTTGAGGCTGTGGACAGGTGTCTTTTATACAGATGATGAGTTCAAACAGGTGCCATTCATACAGGTAACGAGTGGGGGACAGAAAAGCTTCTTACAGAAGACGTTACAGGTCTGTGAGAGCCAGAGATTTTCCTTGTTTGAGGTGACCAAATACTTATTTTCCACCCTGAATTTACGAATAAATTCTTTACAAATCCTACCATGTGGATTCATGGATTTTTTTTTCACATTCTGTCTCTCACAGTTGAAGTGTACCTCTGGTGCAAATTACTGACCTCTGTCATCATTTTAGGTGGGGGAACTTGCACAATCGGTGGCTGACTAAATACTTTTTTGCCCCACTGTAGGTAGCCTGTTAATGTGCTTATGATTTATTATTATTTATTGTCGGTGTCATTGTAATGTTGATGCCAGCTGTTCCCAAATGTGAGACTGCAGTGGCTCATTTCAAAGTCTGAAAACTTGCTGTGGCCTACCTAAACATTTAGTCACTAATCAATCGTTACAGAAACTTCACTGATTCCCTTCGATCCTCTAAAGATTTAATGGTTTCCATCACTTTACTTCTAGGCTCAGCACTGTGCCATTTCACTGCTAATGAAAGATGTAAGAAAAGTTCAGGAACAAAAAATAGTTGAAAGTGGAGAAATTATTATAATTATTACTTTTTTCATTCTGCTTCAATTTTAAATGTCAACCTTTCATGTTAATTAAACTTGAATGTTAAATGTAGTTATGAAAGTCTACTTATTGCTAATGTCTCATGATCCATCTGCAGTACAGTCAAAGCCTGCACTTTGTAAGAATATATAAGTCTGTTTAAAAAATTAGATAAGAGGGACACGAGAGGATGCTATCAAACGGAGCAACGCCAAAGGTTAAATACTGTTTACATATTAAAATGCCAGAATGAAACCCTCCTTTCACATAGTGCCATTTGCTCATCTGTGATATTTAACTTCCATAAACTGAAAATGCAATAGTTCATCACGCTGTGAAGCGAAAATATTAATGCATAAACAGGCAGCTACAGCGTATTCTGCATGGCGTTGTCTCTATTGTCGCAGGAGCACTGATGGAGAAAGTTAATTTCAGATTTATTTTTAGTTTTTGAAGACCACAACCCCCCCCCCCCCCCCCCCCAATGAAATCACAACATGCTTGAATATACTTTGGATTTTCCTTTCAATCATTTTTTTCCCTACAAGATGTCACAAAACGGTTTATAAATGCTCTTTAAAATGTGCAGTATTGTGTTTGAATATATTCAAATCACGTATAATAATTACTTTTCTGTTGATCGTGTCAAAGTATTAAAAAAGAAAAAGGCTCATAATTACATAATTTTGAGTATAAATTTTTAATACTTTTGGAAGAGAGACAATATTTGGTTTAGAAGGTGCATATATTATTGCACTTTCCTGTTTCGTAGGATGACAAGTGAGAACATTAGTACTGTTTTTCTTTTGGAAAATTTCAGTGTTGTTGCTGACAGCAGGGGTTACAGTGCTAATTGTCTTTCAGAGCTTCATCAGAGATCCCGTCTCTGTGCTGATCGGTCTGCTGATGCTGCCGATGCTGTGTGTCAGCAACATCCACAAACAGCATCTGTCTTTAAAGGCCTCTTGTGTCTCAGTGTCTTTATTCATCGTCCCCCAAATTGTTTGAGGGGTCCATCGTCTTTTTGCAATTCAGCCGAGCGAGTGGCTCTCCAACTTTTTCTGTCATGGTTTGTTTTTGGAAACAAAGAAAACGCTTTGTCTCAGGACCTGCAAAATTAATTAAGTTAAATAGAACTGGTGTAATCAAATGAAGACATCAAATCTATAAAGTTGTCAAATAAGAATTACTTTGGAATTAATCTGATGATTGATGGCTTTATTAACCAAAAGTGCCTGTCAGGTCTTTTAAATGTGGTTCTTTGTTGGTTCTTCTAACCATTTAAAAAGTGACGTTGGGCTCTCAGAACTTGTAAGGTGATAAATCAAAACAAAAAGAAGTGTTATGAGAACTATTAGATCCCATAAAGTAGACATTTAGCAGAACAACACCTCTTTTTAGCTAAAAATGTTTTTAGTCTTTTAAAATGCCAGAATTTGACTTTCTTTTTTTTTTGATTACTTGATAATGAACTAAATATGTTTGTTTGGAGTAGTTCTTGGCCAAAATAAAACACTTCACCAGAGTAAATCATGAGCCACTAGAATTCATCACAGACCTTGTCGACCATTGTCTGTGTTATGCTCTGGTCTGCTTTGCTTTTCTGTTCTACTCCACTCCGTTATTTTTTTTTCCTGTTTACAGAACAAGTCTATTGTTCCTTTTACAGTCCAAGAAGTATTCATTCTGTCCTTCTGTTGAGAGGGGGAAAATGGTTTGGTACTCCTTCTTAGAATTGATTCCAAAGTCAAGCTCAAGGAGTTGAATTTGTTTTCTGTTTTCTGGCCCAACACATCAGCTGTTTTGATTCAAGATGATAACGATGATGTGAGATGAGACAATTTATCTTAAAAATTGTGAAGTTGTAGAAAAAGTGAAGATCTCAAAATCTAATATGATACAAAAGCTTGAATCTAAAATGAATGTAAATATTACAGGCTGAGGTGGTAACGATTTCCTGTATCTGCGACTAAGATTTTGGAGAAAGTGTTCAGTTGTATGGTCATTAAGTGGTGTTGAGGACCATCTGGACCCATTTATTATCCTCATCCATTCACACAGCCACAGTTGTTGGGATGAGCCTTGCATCAGCTGACGGAGGAATCCAAACGGTGTGTTGATTCAAACAGCAGCAGCAGCAATGACAAATTCCCTCAGCGAGTCACATGGATGCATTTATTCAGCTTCAGTATTCAGGCCACAAATGTTTCTTTGCAGTAACATATCCAGAATGTCACCACGTTTCAATCACAGCTAGTGCAGTCTTGCCACATTCCTTCTTACCGCTCAGATTAATGTCCCAGTCCACCGGAGAAGCCCTGAAGCCATGTTTCGCTACACTGTATGAGTGTAGCATTGCCTCTTTGCAATGCTCAACAAAATGCATCAAACTGGACTCACGGTGCTGTTTAAGGCTTAATAAGCACCCTGAGAGATGCCTCATATTCCCCATGATGATCACTGAAACTTGTCTAGCATCGAAACCCCGTCATTGGCTGAGTAGCTCTTCGGGGAATAGTAAAGAGACTCCATTGCCAAGAACATGAGGAAAAAATTAGCATAAGCATACTCCTAATACTCAACTTTTATATGACTTACAAAACAAAGGATTTCCATTTCACCTTTGTATAAAAAACAATAAGCAATTAATTTCAACTTCATCAGGAAGTAAAGTTATAAAAAAAAAAGCAATGGGAGCTGCTGCCGCAGGCTGTAACTCAGCAGATATGTGAAAGTAAATCTCAGACAAGATGTGTTTTGTCTTAATATCCTCACTTCATGTTTGACGAGTGTCACTTCTTTCCTTCTTAAAAATCCTCTAATTGATGAGAGGATTGAGATGGCATAAACTGCTGTTTATGCCATCTCAATGAATCTTGCAAACAGGCGTGAACGCTCTCTTTCTTCTTTATTGTTCCCACATCAATCAGATTCATTCAGCTTTGGTTGTGCTCCACATTTTTTTTTTTCTCTCCCTGTGAGTGCAAACAGCCCAAAGCATTGGGCCGTCTGGGAGGAGGAATGCCCAACTGTTTAGAAACCACTAATAAAAGGGTTTGTTTGGACCAGGTGACCAATGTGCTGCTTCCATCATCGTTCATTAACAGACACGTTCGTGTTGCATTTGCACCTTTAATAAAGGGTTAATTAACACATGGTATTTAAAACCAGTTCTTTTCACTGAAATATTTAAATGAGATATTTATTTAATAAATCGCATCTTTATAGCCACTGTCGCTGATATGATGACATAAGCTCGCGGTGATTGTGTGAGGATTTTTCTCAACCTCAGTTATATCCCTGCCTTTGATTTTTGTCTGGCTGCCAGACAGATTTATTTCAGTCCCACAACAACAACTTATCCTGCAGCTTAAGGTCATGACCTTCCTCTGGTGACAAAGTGGTGTATGGTACTGCTCGTCTGACTCCTGAGTGCATCTGTGGCCTGCATTTCCAGCTTATTTCATTAGATTGTCTTCATTAAGCTTTAGTTATTTTTCTTATGAGGAAGCGCCCACGTGTAAAGTGAAAAAAGACAAGCATGGACAACATGAAGTGCTGATCAGCTGAGCTGAAGTTCAGTCACATCAGCTGATTTATCACATGACCCGGGAACACATCATCAGGCATTCACGCTGACTAACACAGACATGACTCAGGCTTCCTCTCCCCCTCCTTCTCTCTTGTGCTGTTTACTGCCTGCTCGAGCCTTTATCCATGCTGTCTGTGACTGTGCTCAGAAACCACACACTGTTCTCCCACACACTTCGACATTCTTGTCTCCTGTACTTCCTGAAGTCAAAATCTTTGGAGCAATGAACGCTTCCTCCACTCTATAAGAGGAAAGTAGCTTTTAGGCTGATCCTAGGGTTTCACTGTCTTTTACTATTGTGTTTGCAAGGCTTTCAGCTTCTATGTGTTCAATGTCATCTAAAAGACTGCCAAGAGAAATTTCCTGATACTTTGCAGAGAGGTAGACCGTGGACAAATAATAATAAAAATAAATAAATCTGTTTATTACAGTAAACTACAAGGAGAAAGCATTGCTAATTTTGTTGCTTTTCAAAATATGTGAACATTAATTTTCTTACAGCCAGCTTCTAAGCAGCATCTGAGCTCATCTAATCAAATTATGTAGATACATTTCTGTTAAATCCATACATGCTACATACTGAATTTCATTGCTTCTTATCTATGGTGTGCCAGCTGCTAAAGAACAACAGATAACCACTGTAACTGAATATTACAGGCAGGGACGTGAGCCGTGTTTCAGCCAAGTTCAGTAGTTTGAAGACCTGCAGTAGCTGTCAGTGTTAGTAGGTCACATGGTTGTTTAGTTACACTCCTTTATTGTGTTCTCGTGATAGTAGTCTTATCAGAGCGTTCAGAGATCACGCTTTAATATGTCGCATCTAATGAAAACCTGTAAACCAGCTAAACGAAACCAATAAAAAAGTGTAAAACAACTAATTAAACCAGAGGAAGTAAAGGAAACAAGTCCCGGAAGGCAAAAATGAGGATCAATAAGCATTATATCTTGATTGTTTTATTTTAGTAATCGATGGAAGCTACAAGTGTTGCTAAATTTTCAAAATTAGATTGATTGCCCTAAACTCAAATGATCAATTAAACACACACAGCTCATCACTGAGGTCTTTGGATGTTTGATCCAGATTTGTTTTTTTGAAGCTACACAGCATTTTTCAGCTTGTAACATTTTATTATCTTAGCTTTTCGTCTGCCTGACTTGCGGTGAGTTTATTTAACAGGCTGAGTCTTAAATCAAGTCAAATTCTTAACATGCACAAGACTTCCCACTGCTGCCAGTTTTCTGTTTTGTAGTGCTTTGAAATGATTAATGACAGTGTACAGACACCAGGGTCAAAATGTTAAGGTACAGAGCCGTCTGGTGATTTGGAAATGCGATGCAGAGTTTACATTGACCTGCTGGGTCAGTGGATGTTGGAGGGCAACAACATTATTCTGCCAAACTGTCTCAGTGACTGTTTGGGATGAATGGTCTGAGAACGAGAGCCTGTGTATGTATGTTTGTTGTACCAACTGAACGATCTTTGTCATACCTTTATTAGATAAATGTTTTCGCGCTGGCAAGCTCAGTGATCTATGTGATCTGTCCACATCAAGTTAAATGAATTTGCATTGATCTAAAGGAAAGCTACCATTTCTGATGTTAAAATGAATCACCACTTCAAGGTTTCTCTGACCTGTTGTTATATTATGTAATTTAGGGTTTAATGATTTTCAGTCATTTAACTCTTTACATGCATGTTATTATTTTGTAATGACTGTTTTCTTTGTCTTTGCCAAATGTACAGGTGACCTTTCGCTGCAGAAGCTCTCTGACACTGTGCTGGATTTCAACAGCACGCAAACTTGTCCTGGAAGCAACAACAAGATTCAGACCAGCATCAGCTTCCAGTGTGGGAAAACCATGGTAAGACTGACAATCAGTAGAATATACCAAATATTCTTAGATGGACGATTACCTGTTGTTCAATAGCTGCGTTAATGGGAATGCACAGAAAATATCAAACTAACTGTTCGATGTTCTACATGAATTTCCTTTGTCCACTAACACCTGGTGTGTGCTGACGTGTTGTGCAGCAGCAGTCTCTGCAATCGTTCAGCCACTGATGTGCTGCAGTAACATTAGATGTAAACTTTTGACATAGTTTAGTCACATTGTGTGTTATATACATGGGTCAGAATGGAAGCATGGCATAGTAGAGAGGTTCTGAATAATAAATCTTACTTGCAGCATGAATCATAGTGTCCACCAATTAGCATGTGAACCACTATTTTGAAGCCTTGGCTTCATCTTTATGGACACCTCTTTTCTTTTTTCATCTCTCGCTCTCTTTTTAACCTTTATGAACGATGAAGGGAGAAAGCAGAGCTCCCTGTGTAAGGAAAGCTACATGCAACCATGCATTGCTAATCACACTGCCACCTTGGCACATGCTCCTTTTTTAGGAGAGAGAATTCACCATATTTGGACAAGTTGAGTGTTAAGTTTTAGCTATAACACTAGCTTGGTGTGCAGAGTTTATCCATACACTTCCATACATAATGCTGATTAGTGCATGGAAATAACATACAAGTAAGCTAAATACATGGATGGATGGATCAAAAGACATTGTGTGTTGGCATTCTGTTGTTGCTCTTTTAATCCAAACATCATTAGTAAAACATAACATTAATCTTTAATAGCTGTGTGATGCATAGGAAGGTGGCAAGTGGAAATGATCTGTCCAGACTCTGTATTTGAATCAGGTTTTACACATGTCATTTTCAGCTCATATGTTCAAGGGCTTTCAGCAGGGGAGTCTGTGGAGTTAGCACTTGACATTGACATCATTATTTAGCCCCCAAAGGTTGCTGCTGTGCAGAGTGATTGCACAAATGATGAGTAATCCATTAGAGGAGGTAGGACATTTGTGATATTGTGATATTTGATTTTACGTAATTGTTCCTAAAGGCAGATTTTGTCAGTTGACACAGAGAGAGGGAAAAATGTTTTGGAAGATTATCTGTATTTTACAAACAGTGCAGCTCACCTATTCAAACAGACTTTAGAAATATGTTAAGTTTATAACAGGAAGACAAGTACAATCCACAAATGAATTTGAGGTTAATTACCTTATTTATTCTAAAATTAAGATGCACAGAAGGTCAAGTTTATTGCGTGCTATTGCTGACACTTTCGATGTCTTTTGGATACAAAGTATTAAACATCCTGTTTTTCAACACAGGAAGTTAAATGGCGCTCTGTTGTTTCATCAGGTATTTGTGTCTGTGTGGAGAAATGTGCAAAAGACAAAAAACTAAAACACTAAGTTAATTTATTGAAAGTGAAACAAACATTTGGAAGTCGCTTTTGCTAAAACGAAACGTAACAACTCTAAGATGATGATTGTTGGATTCCTGTCGCTGCTTGTCAGTGAATCTGTGACTGGAAATGATGTAGAATAATGACTGATACCTCATAGCGTGATCCTGCTCGCTGCGTTGTGTGTATCTGTGGTTTTGATGGGGTGGGTGAGTGGTGGGTTGAAGTATCATTTCCTGTCGAGAAACAAAGAGTTTTCTGTTTCAGAGTGTACGACGGGGAGAAATAAAAGTGGCTTCCACAATTTTTAGGGCAAATCACTAAATGCTGAAAAGAAGTGATGACAGCAAAATGCAGATTATAGTAGACGTTATCTTAACAGAACTGTGCCTTGTTTCAGACATGTTGCAAAAGAGTTTTAAAAAACCGAGCGCTTTAACGTTATTCCTATATTTACTTTGTTGTTGTAGTTTACCCCTCCTTTTTAAGTCCAGTCTAAATGGTAATGTTATAGATGTTATAGTTAAATCCTCTATCTCTATTTTTATCAGTACATTTAGGAAAATAAATAAAGGTTATTGGGCTAGAAGTGAATCCTTGATGTGTTTATTATTAATCACTTTTGGAATTTTCTAGCAAACAAATTATGTTCCTGTTTCCCTTTACTGTCTCTCATATATATATATATATATATATATATATATATATGAGTTTTTAATTTTACCTCTTTTTTTTTACTACTTTTTTTTATTGTTATGAACAGGTCTCTCCTGTAAATGAGAAGCTGAGTCTCAGTGGGATTACCTGTTTAATAAAGGTTAAGGTTGCAATGTTCAGCATTGGCTTGAGGATCAGTGAAATGGAGTGACGTCTTGTGAAGCATTCAGAGATGTCCTTTCAGTCCACTAAAAAGGACTGCTAGAGTAGCACTGCACGATTCACAGCTCAAAATAATCCTGGTTCATCCAATACTTAGTTCACACCCGTTAATTCATCCATTGTCTCCAACAATTTTAACTCTTTACCTTTCTTCGAACCAACCAAACAGTGCCTGTGTGGGGGTATCAGCTCGCCTAAGGTGGCCCTATTAAGAATATCTGCTCTCATGTCACACAGTTATAGGCTGGCATTATTTGTACATGCACTGATCTTTTATGTCGTCATTTGAAATTTTAAGCATTTGTAATATTAGAATACACAATTATGACAGTAAAGTAAAAGGGATTAATGGGAGAAAATGTTGTTGTTTTTGACTCTGTAAAACAGCAGCTAAAATGTGGAGAATACCTGGAATTTAAAAAACAATGCTGCTGTCAAAGAGTTTTTGAGAAACTCTGAATGAAGCACTGAACCATCAGCAAATCCAGAAGCAGCAGCAGGCTGTGGTTGTTTGTTTGAGGCTCAACACTTAGAAGTTCCTCCCCACAATATAACTACAACAAAGGTTAATACTCTGTATTTCTCTGTGATAATGGAAACAATGACACATTCAGCATCTTAAATGCTTAAATCTTTGATGTCATGGACGATGATGTGCCGTATACTTTAGCATGCATTCATCACCTGTGTCAACATGAAACTACCTTTCTTACTCATGTTCCTGTCTTTGTTCTGCAGGGGACTCCAGAGTTTGTGACCGTGTCTCAGTGCGTGCATTACTTTGAGTGGAAGACCTACGCTGCCTGCAAGAAAGACAAATTCAAGCCACATAAAGAGGTGCGGTGGAGCATCTGATGGGGTCGCTGACTCATTCAACAGACTTTTACATTTAGAAGAAAGAAGGAATGAAATCTTCACTGTGATTAAACACAATGAGCTGAAGAGGAAATGGAAAGCTGTATAACCATATTCCATCACTGCGAAGATGTTTACAGCGTTTATCTGTGCAGAAAATGAATCACATGTTGTGACAGTGATCCTGTTAATGTGGAAACATTTGAAAAAATGCGTGAAATAAATTTGTTCAGGAAAATGTTAAAAGCAACAAAATAAACCAAAGAGTATGATATATCCATGATCACAGTTACTAAGTTGTGTATTATCAGATAGCTATAAACACACGTGCAAAGTTTTTGGTAACACAACAGTAAAACTGTTGAGGGGGGGCTTTTTTGTGAATGCAGCATAAAGTGGTGCACGAATACATCTGTATTGTAGAGTTAATCCAGCTCTTCTTTGCCCAGGTGCCCTGCTACGTGTTTGACTCTGATGGGAGGAAGCATGACCTCAGTCCTCTGATAAAACTGAAAGATGGCTATCTAGTGGACGACGGCGAAGACAGCATAGACTTCTACATCAACATCTGCCGCAGTCTCAGTGAGTACTTGAAGGAAAGGAAGTGATTGGATTCTGTAATAATGAGGGGTTTTTTGTTTTGAGGAACACTACATTGACAAAGTGTGCACAGAGCAGAAAGGGAGCCTGTTTAAAGGCCCTTCTTCTTTGTTTTCATGTATTCCCTAAATCTAGGTCCATTCCTTGAAGGTCTATAGATGGTCATTACTATAACGTGGCACAATAAAATATTGCATAGCATCGCCACATTGTATGTTAAACAAAGCAATTACTGGAAAGCAATAGAAGCAATAGTGGTGCTTTTGCAAATTAAAATTTTCAATTTAAATGTAAAATAAAAAAAAATCAAGGTGTTAAAATTAAATATATAATTACTTGTAGTTTTCATGTTTCTGTCATTTCATTTACATGGATTCCAGATTCCACTATTTACATGGTTTTAGCTCTGTGTTTGGCTTTGAGGGCTTGAAAAGAAGGCAGCTGGACAAAACTTCTGGTGTTAATAAGATGTTTTTTCTCTCATTAAGAGCCCGGTTCAGTTCTAAGACGACTGATGGAGACTGCCGGGTATTTAACCACTAATAGGGGAGGGCTGTCCCCTTGATTGTCTTGAAGGTGGTTAACCCACTATAAGTTGTCAAATAAGCGAAGGTGTGCAAAGGCATAGGTGATTATTCTCACTGGGGCCAGAGTTCTATTGAAGAGATGATTCTAAGTCTCTCACTGTTGAATTTAAAAACTGACATTCACAGAATTGACAGTGCTAAACAGGCCAATCACAATGCATCCTACTGAGTGGTTGCTTGGGTTCTGTTGTGTAAAAGTTGCAGCATTGCTCACTGCATTGCGTAGCACACACTGTTGCCAAATTTTCCACGACATAGTCACTGTTTTTACGTTTATGCTGTTTGGTGCGGAGCAGATGGTGTAAAATACTCTTTTGAGGCTTTTTTTCTTTTTTCCCACTGAGATCAAGCTGTTTGCTTCAGTCAAAAAACAAAACACTAACACATTGGTGAGGGTGAACCAAAGAATTGTGTTCACCAAATGACACCAGTAGTGATGTGAAAAAATGTTGCTCGGAGGAACACCAAGCTCAGTGCTGTTTAACACCCGTTAAGCAGCTGTAAACAAAGGGGCAGGGACTTGTGACTGTTTACATGCTGTCCTGCATATCGTCATCACACTGAATTAGTTTTCTAACAAGAAGAAATTTAAGAATCTTTTTTTTAAATCTCATGTTCTCCTCAATCGTCTCTCAGACCTTCCAGACAAAGGCTGTACAGAGGGCTCTGCAGCCTGCCTCGTCACACAAGATGGCTCATACAACATGGGTTTTCCTACCCAGCAGCTAGAGCTAATGACTGATGACAGGTACTTTCTTCATGTTTGTTTATGACAGTGAAGTTTGCAGGTATGGCTCTCCTGAAGCTTGTTTTTGGAGCTGTCTTCTAAGTCTGGTGCTTCAGGTTTAGAGTTGAAACTTGAAGTTAAATTCTAATCTTGGCGCTAAGAGGCAGTATATGCAGGAATAAAAGATTATCAGAAGGTCAAGAATGTGCAGATGTGCTATAGTCATGTTTTTAAATACATGTATGTGTTGACATAACCTTTGGTAAGTTTGAACACAGGTTAAGTCAGCACCGACTGGTTATATGAAAAAATAAACATGAAAAGAAGACCTTTTCTTAGTAGTTTTTCATACTTCTTGCACTTTTTCCTCTCCAGCTTGAGTTTACAGTATTCTTTAAGTGACGACTCGAATCCTCCAGCAATCTGTGGATCAAGCAAACCAGCAGTCAACATCACCTTCAGATGCCCATCAAGCAGGCATTTGGTAGGTTACGCTACAGTCTTCATGATGAATTGTTTGTTTCACTGCTTAAAATGTATTCATACTCATTGTTATTATTGTTGTTGTTTTTTTGGGAGTGGGGGTGTTTTTGTTTTTGTTTTTTTGCACAGCTAGCAAAATGAACCATAACCCCTAACTTTACTTAATTTTCACATTCACAGAGCAGCCCTCCTACGATGATAGCTAAGCCAAACTGCCATTACGAGGTGGAGTGGGTCACTGAATACGCTTGTCACAGAGACTATCTGGAGAGCCATACCTGCAAACTGACCAGCGAACAGCATGACATCTCCATAGACCTAACTCCTCTCACTTTAGCCTGTAAGTTTTTGTTCCTCTAAAACATCTTAAACAGCTTAAACAACCTTTTATAAGTTATTCCTTATAGTTGTATGAAGAATGAAATGTCAATGGGGGAACTATTAAAATCAAATGCAAATAAAAATAAAGTAGTAGTAAACCACACTCAGCTGATGTCAGGTTAACATGACGAGTTATTAGCTTTACAAATGCTGCCATGTGGCAAATACATCCTTGTTCCTCAAACTGGTTTCTACAATTAGAAAAATAAGGTTGTAACTATCAAAGGGCTGCTAGTAAAAACAAAACTGTCAGTTGCCTTAAGGCAGCTGTTGTTTATATAAATAAAACTGAATTAAATTGAAGAAGTGTAGTGTAAAAGCAAAATAAAGCTCAAACATTGTATTTAGTTTTTTGGCAGTTACACAAAACTTGTTTTACATATTTAACTGTCTCATGTTGCTGCTTTTTTTTAGGCCCATTTAGAGGAAGTGACTTTATGACTAAATGGTGTATGAACCTCCTGGTTTTGTTAGAAATGTGAAAGGTTTTTCCACTCACTGCCACAGTCCATTTGAAGTCTGTGTGCCATGATGCAGTCTGCAGTTCGGGACAAAAGGATAGTTTCAAGTGAAAAACTTAAGGAAAAAGATGTTTTTTCTCATGTTTGTTTTCAGATCTCTGCCTGCTTCATGTTTTGGTGTGACTATATAAACATTTTTCTTGTTCTTTAAATTGACAAACTGCTTATTTCAAATCAATGGCCATCAGTGATTTTCTTTTTTTTTTTTTTTTTTTTTGTACACTTTTGTACACTGCTCAAAAAATTAAAGGAAGCCTATTAAATGTCTGGAATATTGACCTACTCAAATAAGTAGCAGAGGGGTTGCTAATCATATTTGGTGTCATGAAATTAAGAATAGGTGTACTGGGGGGCAACACAGTGACAACCTCCAAAACAGGAATGGTTCTATAGGTGGAGCCCACTGACATTTTTCTCCCCTCATCTTTTCTGACTGTTTTTTTCACTAGTTCAGCCTCCTCAATGATGGCACATCAATATGTACCATTGCCACTAGGTTTATTGTGTTTCCCAGCACAGTTTCAAGAGCATAATAGAGATTCCAGGATATAGACAGTTACTCCAGGAGAGCTGGACAAAGCCATAGAAAGTCCTTAACCGATCAGCAGGATGAGTATCTGCTCCTTTGTGCAAGGGTAGAACAGGATGAGCTCTACTAGAGCCTTACAAAATGACCTCCAGCAGGTCACTGGAGTGAGATCTGATGAGTTTTGAATGCATTCTTTTCTTTTTTGAGCGCTGTGCTGAGATGCAGCCAGTATGCTTCCTTCATTTTTAGCTTAATAGAAAAAGTGGAAAAACCTTAAGAGGCTTTGATATTCTTCAACATTTTCAGGGTCCAGGAAATTCAAACATAGGTTTTATTCGACGGTTATTTAAAAACAAAACAAAACACATATACCAGGTGTTCGCAAATTCTTACATTACGTCCTGTTTTGATCTTCCACATATTAAGCAACAGTTTGTACAGTTTAATAAGAGTTTTAGAAGAGCTGCCTCCAGCCTTAGCTAAGCTAACTATCATCTAGCTATATGTATTATATATGTATAAACAAACATTATACACATACATATATGTGTAGTTATCATGTTGTCAGAATTTTGCTATTGAAGAGTAGTTATTGGTTCTGTTGATATTCCTAATAGGTAATGTGCAGTAAGATAAAAATCAGTAACATGTTGACTGAAACTTTCAAATGCTTTCTTGTGTTTGTAGCTTCGGATCATCCATACTATACACAGTCTGGGCCCAGTGGCACACCTGACAGCTACATCTACTACCTGAACATATGTGGTAGGGTTCCCACTCAGGAATGTGGTGACGGGCCGTTCATATCATCCTGCCAGGTGAAGAATGGCGAAGGAAGGAAGATTGTGGCTGGACAATATCAGAACCAGACATTACGGTAATTTCTGTATGTTTGTGAAGTGTGTGTATAGGAGTATGGGTGTGGAATAGTCCACTGGCCGTGATCACTATTCGTCAGAGAATCACGAAATACAAAAGAATCAAAGATGGTTTTATTATTAAAGTTGTAAATGGTTTTGAAAATAAGTTTTCTAATTTGATTTAATAAACTTGCTTGTTGAGATGTGTAAATTGTCAAAATGATATCCTGACATTGATCCATGAGCATGGAACTGTAGAGCAAATCTTGCTTTTCCAACCCCCTTACTTCCCCTTTCCATTGTTTTTCCTCCTCTTCAGTTATTCAGATGGAGATCTGACTCTGATCTATCCAGATGGCCTCAAATGCTCCTCTGGCTTTGAGAGAATGACCATCATCAACTTTCAGTGCAACAAGACTGCTTGTGAGTCAACTTGTTTCTGCTTTCTCACAGATGCTGAAATTCTTGGCACCACCTGGCAGTAGAATAAAAAACGGAGCGGACATATCTGTATAGTAAAAGAGTTACACGGTGTTCTGCCTTGTAAAACAAAGCAAATTGCACAGACAAGGCAAATAGGAGGTCAAACTCCAAAAAGGGAAATCGAAATAATATTTAGTTTTCATGAGCGTCGTTGGAGTTGATCTCTAAGACAACTCTAATAAAATTCACATTCATAAAATAAATGCACAATTTCCATTTAAATAAATAAGAAATGATTGTAAGGCTCACCTTGTATAATTTGCACATTGTTCCTTTAATGTATAAATATGGAGTTTCAGGTGAAGTTCAGTCTTTATTAACTACTTCTATATTATTTGCCTTTAATTCTTGCAGCCCACGGCGGGCGAGGGAATCCAGTGTTTGCTGGGGAAACCGACTGCACTTATTATTTTAACTGGGATACGGCGTTTGCCTGCGTCAAAGAGAAGGAGGATCTGTTATGTCGGGTCACAGATGGCAACAAGCGTTATGACCTTTCACCCCTCACAAGATACCCAGGTGAGTTTTAACAGATCAGTTAAATTTCTCTTCCACTAATGGTTTTGCTTTTCCACCAAAAGCCTAGTTTTTGGCAGGTGGTGCCTTTTTAAATTCTTAATTTAGTGTTTAGCGGTGACTTGAGCACAATTTCTTCCCTGGTGCAACTTTTGGTGACTGTTAGGTTACATATGAGTGACACGGGATGATGATGATGATGATGATGATGATGATGATGATGAAATGACATAATATATCTTGGAAAATTAAAAGTATTGGGATTTATTATAATTTTTCATGTCGTTGTCGTGCAGTGATGTTGGTATTAAGTTTGGTTCAGATTGGCCGACCTGTTAAGGAGGAAATGGGGTACATAGGTATATGCATGTATTTATGTAGCTAACTACAAATACCATATGCTTAAGTTTATTTACTCAGCATAAAGAATTTCTGTATTTCACTTTGAAAACTGTCGATCTAGCGTGTTTTGTCTCTTTAGGTTTACACACAATAATTTACTATGTGGTTCAAATTAAAATTATATTACTCTATGTTTTCCCTGTTGCTTTTATTATAATTACTGTTAATTCACTTGGTTGTGCCCATAGCTTCTCATCGTAGCACCTGTTCAGTACCATGCTTTCAGGTGTGACTGAAAAATTAGGGGGAAAAAAACAACTTTTTTTGTATGTTTGTTTTTTCTTTCTTGCTTCAGAGTCAGAGGGCAGTGAGAACTGGGAGGTGGTGGATGATAAATCGTCAAAGGCAGACTCGCGTTACTACCTGAATGTTTGCCACAAAGTCATCCCTACAGGAAGGGCAGCTGGTTGTCCAGTGGATGCCGCCATGTGTGCCGTGGGTAAGAATGTCCACAAGGAGGGCGTTCTTAAAGATTAATCTGGTTGAATCTGAGTACTTTAATAGATTTGTTGACAAGTTATAGTATTTTGGTCCTCATGCATACTTCCCCCAATAAGTATGAGACAAACCGTATTTTTCTTGCAGTGAATATGACCATTGTGCTTTATGTATTGTCTCTTATTCAGATAAGAATAACAGAACTATCAGCCTGGGAAGCTTCCTCTCTTCTCCCCAGAAAACCAGAACTGGAAACGACATCAGGCTGGTGTATACTGATGGAAGTTTTTGCACCCAAAACAAGACAAGGATCAAAACTATCCTGACTCTCAAGTGCAAACCAGGTATTTTTTATTTTTTTTAAACCCTCTTCTCCTCTGTTTTCTTAGTTATGTTTCTGCTACTTTTGACTCTTTTGCGTTTCTTTTTCCTGTACTCCTGCAGGAGATCTCGATAGTGCTCCTGTCCTTCTTGGCGTCTCATCTGATGAGTGTGTTTATGAGTTGGAGTGGTACACAGCCGCCGCCTGCGTCCTCTCGAAGACGCAGGGAGACAACTGCAAGGTGGAGGACCCTCAAGCTGGTATGACACGCTCAGACAACTATAAAATATGTGTGGGCTTTTCCTCATTAGTTTTTAATTTGAGCAAGAAAATGGATGGAAGAAAACAAGGTAGCAACAGGGTTAATAGAGGCTTTTAGGAAGGAGAAAATGGTATTTCTCAGCCACAAATCCATAAATAAGTTTCTGTGTAAGTTTTTCCTTGAAAGATAAAAGAGGGTAATCATGATCCTTCACGTCTCACTTGGAAATCTGATCGTATATCTTTCTGAGCTCTTAAAATTAATTTCCACTGGCTACAGTCATGATATAGTTTGTTTTGGCTGTGAACTGCTAGAAAATGGTACAATTAATCCCGCACTCATATTGAATTTAAAAAATCATAACAAACAGAAACACATTTGTAAAAGTGCAAAAATCAGACCCATAAATCAGTTGACTGTCAACATCTCTGTAGAGTTTCAGATTATAATAAACACTAACTGACTGCAGACTAAGTTGTCATTTTCTTCACTGATTCACACAGTAAAGCTCTTTAAAGATTTGCAAAGCAACTCTGGGCTAGTCTGCTTTACCTCAGTAGACAGTGAATGCATTGATCACATTTGTTTCACCCAGTTGTCCTTTCCAAGCAGGAGAACATAGTGTAGTGTTTGAAAAACACTGCTGTTTGTAAAAGTCGGGGTAAACCTCTGTCAGTCGATAAGATGACTAAATGCTGACGTTAATGTCTCGCACTGAATTCAGTTAAGTTTAAATTTAACAGCAGTGAACTGAGATTAACTGACTACTGATTTTAGCTCTAATTAACACTGTTGCCTTCAGTGGGGCGCACCTACTCTGTATTTGTCTGCCAGCGTCAACATTCTCAACACAATCTGACAGTCTGTGTCAAATACAGCTGATTGTGCTTTGCTGTCAAATATACTTTACATGTGGAAGAAATGAAGGACAGGCAAAAAAATCACAATTCAAAGTTTTAAGTATTTCTTGATTTACAATTTTTATTTTATTTTAAATCTGTGTTTTTTTTCATCATCTTCCAGACAATTCAGTTTAGAGCTCATTGCATATCTTGTAGTTTTTATGCAGTTTAAATGAACTGTTATAAAAGAAAATAAAGAAAACACCTGTTGTCTTCTGATATATATAAATACAAAAAGGGGATAGAAAAGTGGATCTTGCTCCATTTAATATGTGATCGTTTTAAAAATTAATACTTCCAAATCCAAAATGAATTATGTTTTCTTAGCAATTAATTCCAGCTGTGTGCATCTGTCTGTGCATGTGTGTGCACACGCCAGGAATGACAAAATAATAATCTTGAAAAAGTTAATTAATAAAAAGTTATCTGATACCACCATGGTTTCACTACTCTTGCTCGATACTGCCACCTAGTGGAGAATGTAACACCTGTATCATGGTAGGTTTCACGTGTGCCCTCTCACATGTTACTTTCATGATGGCAAACCAGGAAGAAAAAAACCTGTGGTTGCCTTTTTCTTGTCTCTTTACTTTAAATCCTCTTGTTAACCTCTAACTAACCTTAGCTTCTCCACAGGCTTCTCTTTCGACTTGTCGCCTCTCTCCAAGCCTCATGGTGGTTTTTACAACCTGACTAAAGGCATCTATCAGTATTACATCAACGTCTGTGGTCCAGTCAGTGTTTCGTCGTGTCCTGAGAAGGCCGGCGCATGCCAGGTGGAAAAGAAGTAAGACTACAGGCTACAAACATGCAAGAAGAATCGCACTTCTTTATTCTGTTCTGCCCCACTTTCTCAACTTTCACTCCACTTTTAAGCACTTTTAAAAACAACCGTGCTTAAAAAAATGAAGTGACGTGAATTTTCTCACAAATCTGAGAAATCAATGTAAATTATCCCTGAAGTATTCGTAGTGTGCTTTTGCTGTGTTACCTTAGTTTGCTAATTTTAATACCAATTGGATCAAGAATTCAATAATAATCTGCCTCCATCTGATTGCACTGCAAATTCCTGCTGTATTGAAGGTGTAGTGGAAAGAAGAGGGATAAATGAGCGTCACGCATTGTGCAACAATGTATTTAGTTTAGGATCTATATGTTTTTGGAAGCCTAAGTTAAGCATTCCTTCTATCAATCTGCATTTTGTACATTATACTGGTCATTTTACATCCCAACACACAACATTGTGTGTAAAAAGTTTAGGTCAATATTGAATAACACACTCATTATTAAATTAAAGATCCTGAAACCGAGTGATTTAAATACACTCAGCAATGAAGAAACATGAATAAATTACATCATATATTTTTCTTTAGTTCTTGGAGTCTTGGGGAACAGAACTCCCGTCTGTCGTACTACGATGGGCTGATTCAGCTGAACTACAGTAACGGCACCCCATACAACAACGAAGAGCACACTCCCAGATCTACGCTCATCTCTTTCCTCTGTGACCCACAAATTGGACCAGGAAACCCAGAATTCCAGGTAAAATCCTCCCTACCTCTTTGTCAGATTGTTTAAACAGTGTTTGACGTATTTTGTGTCTCCTGTATGATTTGTATATAAACATCTGTTTGTTAAAATCTTCGTTCAGATAGAAGACAAGTACACGTACAACTTCCGCTGGTATACCTCCTACGCGTGCCCTGAAAGACCCCATGAGTGTTTGGTGACCGATCCAGACACACTGGAACAGTATGACTTATCCAGGTAATGCTTTTAAAAAGTATTGTGCAGCAACTGCTTTACCAGTGTCTAAATCCAAGGCCATGAAAATAAGTACATCCAGTCCAGCACTGAATTGTTGCCAATCTGCTGTCCTCCTCGTCAAGCTTTTCTTCTTCAATTTCAGCCTGTCACACACCACCTCCAACTGGCAGGTGATGGACTTATCCGACAGCAATAATCTGAAGAAGTATTACATCAACGTATGCCGCCCCATCAGCCCTGTACATGGCTGCGACCGCGATGCATCCATCTGCGAGATGAAATATGTAACCAAGCAGGTCTGTAACATTAAACACCTCCACTGAATCAGAGGGATGCGACATTACTGAGGAAGAACACACAGCTCATGTCAGTCTTCTGGTGAATACCAAACTTTCCCTGGTGGAGACCAGACGGTGAACTGCAGTAACACAAGAAAGCATAGCTTGAGTATCATCCTCAAAACACCTTGTCAAAATCAGAATCTGGACACCAGTGAGTCCAGCCATACACCCCTTTGCCAACTCTGATTGGGTAGTCGAGGCCTGGATGGGATGCGTTTTTCAAAGGTCTTGAGGCAAATTTGACTTTGAATCTTTTCTCATTGCATTGAAATCTTGTGTATATATAGCCTGACCAGAAGGACTGTGAAACTGAATTGAAAGGGGGCCTTGTTGCAAATCCACTTCGGGTTTATGATTGATTGTGTTAATTTTTCTTGCTGGTTTTAGAGAATTGTGACTATACCACTATGGGCCAGATTTACTAATGTATTGCTCATGAAAAAAGAACTATCTGTATTTGCAAAGAGAACAGTGAGAGGTATGACTTTACCACTGGTTAAAGGAATTCAACCAAGAAGCAGTTTGCAGAGTGGACTGATTTGAACTTTAAATTTGTCTGGCTTTGTCTCTAACTACCATCCCTACATGTGTAATTGACAGTTACAGTCAACTCTGACAACAGAGCTGGCAACAACAAATTCCTCTTTTTCCATCATATAATTTATATTACAGTTGACAGAAACGATAATACTTATTTTGCTACACTATTTTTAATATGTTAATATTTATTGATTGGTCTAGTGTGCCTTTAGAGATGGAAAGATCTGGACATGAATATAGGCGTACCAAACATTTAATAACCCAGAAGAAAGTGACACAAAATATGATTTGCTATATTTTTGTAAACAAAGTCATTCGGCAAATGTTTTTTCTGTGTTGTTGCTGCTCTTTTTTTATTTTTTAATATTGCTTCCACCCATTTTATAATAACATGCTCAGGGTGAACATTTGAATAAGAATCTCAAAGTAACTGCAGAGTGTAACTGGTGTCTGATACTCAATTATTCACCTCTTCCCTCCTGCCTCCCCTCAGGGCTCTGTAGAGGAGGAGGTGTCAGTCAGTAACATGGGCATTTCAAAGCGAGGGCCGATCATCGAAGCACGGGACCGCCTTATGCTGGAGTTCACAGATGGCTCTGCCTGTGATTCGGACGGTCAGAAACTCTCGTATACAACGCGCATTCACCTGGTCTGCTCCAGAGGGACTCTCGTGAGTAAATGCAGTTTTGAGAAGAAAATGGCTTGCTGGCTGTCTACAGTGGTGGTTTGAGTGTAACAATGTTTGCACTCTGCACTATTCAGGTTAAGGGACCGCGATTCCTGATGTACCAGAACTGCACTGCCACCTTTATGTGGGAGACCAATGCAGCCTGTGCCATCAGAACCATCACAAACAATGTAAGTGTACTTGCATGGATCTTAAGTCTTAATTTGACTTAATTGTAATTGATACACTGTGGTAAACTTAACAAAATACTTGAAATGGTTGTAATCTGCGTGGGTTTTTTTTTTTTTTTGGCATATCAGACATGTGCTGTGGTGGACCCCAACACTGGCTTTGAGTACAACCTAACGCCTTTGGCTTCCAAGACCGGATACAATACAAGTGGGAATGGCAAGAAATTCCTGGTAAGACACTTCAACAATATTCTGCCAGCATACATAATTTCTGCAAATTATAGCTCTCAAGTGTTGCATGGAAGTGTCGCAGTGCTATGGAAAACATTACATTTTTGCATTTCAAGTGATATTTTCCAAATGGTTGTATTAAATTCTAATCAAATAAAGCATTGTGAGGAGGGAATTTAATTGCCAGCCGTGTAGGGTAACGATTAGAGCTATATAGCGCATTACGTAGCACTAAAACATGGCAGATGAAGCTTTCTGATTGTAGTTCATGAAACTTCAGAATAAGATGAAAAATGTTTATTGTCCTTGTTTAGTTTATTTTAAAAAATGTGAAAGTATGAAACAATGTTTTTCTTTTAAATGCTACTAAAAAGGGTAATGAATTATCTTAACGGATAAACCTTATGAATGCAGACTGATGAAAGAACAGTTTCAGCTTTAAAATGATTGCACATCATTTAACTTGGGGTGTAACTAGCACTTTTTTCTTCTTTTAATTTTTTAACCTCTGCAGAGGTTGCTTCCTGTTGAAAGGGACGTTTTCTTTCTCTCTGTCGCCAAAGTGCTTGCTCATTAGAGGTTGTCTAACTGTTGGGTTTTTTTCTGTATTATTGCAGGGCCTTTACAATATAAAATGATTTGGTGCTATATAAATAAAATTGAATTTAACATTTTAAATAAAAATGTAACCTATAAAAAAAACAAACAAAAACATTAAAACTATAAAACGTAAACACCAACATTTATAAGCTTTGGCAGCCAAGTGACTAAAATGATCCAAAATATTGTCTTTTTACTGCTGATTTACCTGTTGTTTTGTATTCTTTTTAGTTTTTGAATTGGATGTGTGATGCTGGACTACATCATTCGATTGTGCATTCACAGACTTTGTCTTTAAGATGTTTACATATTATATGGTATGAAATATCGCATAAAGCACACAAACTCAAAGTGGTATCCCACCTACCTGCAGGTAAACATCTGCTCAGATGTAGCTGAATGTGGTCAGGGAATGGCTGGCTGTGAGCTGGAGAACGAGCACCCCATCAGCCCTGTGGGGGAGGAGAAGACCCTCCAGTATTCAACTGACGGCATCCTCCAACTAACATACAGGGGACCTGTTGACGTTCCAACAGGTAGCAAAAGCACAATAGAAAATGTACAAAATAAAGCAGTTCACGCTGGATCTTGAAATGTGTCACACAGTGAGATCTGATGATGGACATGGCCAAGTGTCCGTTCATTTTGTATTTTGATCAAACAACACTATGGTTATAAACAAAAATACTGATGCTATTTTTACGTTACAGTGGTGCACTTTTTGTGACTTTCCTCCATTTTTTTTTTTATTTATTTATTTTTTTTAAATTTTTTTTTTTGCTTTTTCATCAGCAACTCGGGACACCTTCCGGATTAATTTTGTGTGTGATCCAAAGTCTTACCCTGGATCCTTAAAACTGGTGCGAGAGGACATGAGTACTTCCCCTAAGCATGTGGTCCATGACGTCCTCTTTGAGTTCTCCACCGCTTTGGCCTGCATGCCTGCTCCAGTTGACTGCAGGATCACAGAAGCGCGCGCGCGCACACACACGACACACACACCACACACACACACACACGCACACACACGCACACACACGCACACACACACACACACCACACACACACACACACCAGTATGTGATTATGGATATGCGCTACTTAATTTGGATTGGCTGACCCTTTTTTTTTTTTTTTTTTTTTTTTTTTTTTTTTTTAGAATTTGTTAGATTACAAAAAAGTTTACTAACTTGAACATGTCTTCATTAATTAATGAACAAATCTGATTTATTTTTTTCACTTCTAGATTTGCATGGTAATGAGTATGACCTGAGTCACCTGATCCGGGATGAAGATGACTACCCATGGAATCCCATAAACACAGATTCAGGCACATCAAGAAGGTTTTATATCAACGTCTGCAAACCCCTCCCACGTGTAGATGAGTGTCCAGGTGAGAAATTAACAGGTTTAGATAGACATAAGAGGATTTGACGTTGACGAGGATTTGACACAACTAGGGCTGCAACTATTCATTGATTTTTTTTTTTGAATAATTTGTTTATAAAAAATTCTCGATACGAAGTCTTCGATGCTTTGTTTGAGGCACGGCTCCGTAGCTCGCCATTGTCACCATGGAAATGCTAATGTGAGCGTTTCACCCACATTTGCGACTAAAGCAGACGTGCAATGCAAACATGTTTAGAGCAGCTAGTGAATAAAAATTCTGACAACATTAAGCCCACACAGGGTGCAGTTTTAAACAGAAACACCAACAACAGCAGCGGAGACTATGACGTTGGCACAGTTTAATGTGAAGTCTGTTTACACACTGCAAAGAGACTGAGCCAGTGCTGAGAAGATGAGCGCAGGTAGAGTTAAAGAACACGTGTTTCTGGCGCCCAAAAAAGCTGCTGTTCTGGTGACCACCATTTAAACTTTTACTTTTACCAAAGCCCCTGATCAGCAAACTCCAATGTGAAGAAGACAAGCAAACTTTGTATCTGCTCCTTCCACAGCCATTTGTTTTAAACAGCGAAAAATCAGCAGTAAGCCTCCAGAAGTTGTATTAAAATATGCAGATGAACTGTTAACCTAGTCTGATACCACATTTAAACTGTACAGGTTGCTGGTTAACTGATTTGCCTTCATTTACAATTTATTGTTATAAAATACACCCAGTTAAGTCTGACATATGTTTTTTGATAGTCTTACTTCATTTACTTGGTGTAAATAAGCAGAGCAGAGAATAAGAAGAGTCTTCCATTGGAGATCGGTGATTAATATTACTTTGAGTGGAACGGGTTAATGAACCCTAACTGATGCAGTGAGTAGCTTCTCTCTTTGTAAACAACCATGTTGCCATTCTGTGGGCGTAGAAGAGATTTTACTCCGTTTCACAAGGGTCAAATTATTGGCCTGCATCAAGCAAAGAAAAAAACGAAGAATATGAAACTACAGAAACTCGTTTAGAAACTGTGCAATGCATTTATGAAAATCTGTAACCAAAGTGGGGAAATGGAATCTGAGGAACTGATGCGGTCCAATTAAAAACAAAAAAAACAAAAAAAACAAAACAAAAAACAACCAAATAATTAATAGACATCAACATTTGAAATCACAGCTATGTTTAACATTCAGAGAGCACTTCTACTTACAAAGTCAATGACCAAGTTTTTCCACAAATGGAAAAAGCTTTATGCAGCTGTCTGACTTTTCCATCATCAATAAAAGTTCTTAACATTTAATTCAGTTCTGGATGTAAATAAATGTTGTGATGTTTATAAAAATGATCTCATAGCAAATGCATGTTGTCATCAAAGCTAAATAAAAATATGAATGACTTTTTTTGTTTTTGTTTTTTGGAAAGGCATTTTCCTAAATGCTAGACTGTAAGGATGGCACGGGATATTACTGGAAAAATGCAGGCAAATAGTTAGAGTATAACATTTTGTATTGTCTGCAGTGGGCTTTTTGGGATCCTGCGTTGTCATTGATGGCAAAGGATACAACCTGGGATACATCCAGTCCAGCCCACAGGCAGCAGAAGATGGCTCCATCAGCGTGGTGTACCAGAATGGAGACAAATGCGGGTCTTCGTCCCAGTACTCAACTCGCATCATCTTTCAGTGTGATGAAAACCCGGTGAGTGTTTTTAGACTCTTGAACTAACCCAGTCATAATGTTCACAAAATGACTATTTGATATTATTATAATATAAATGTTTTAGTTGTGTGGATCAGATTTGGTAGGAAAAATGTGATGTTTATTTTCTAGTTTCTAACTGCGATAGAGGCTAAGTGATTGAAAACGTGTACTGTTTATTTTAGTGCTTTCTTCAGTAGCACTGTTAGACTTTAACTCACTAACTGAAAGCTACATTTTATGGTTACTTTGTTACCAAAAATACATAAAATAAGTTCCCCTTGAGGTATTTGCAAATGGATTTCATGATAGAGGCATACCTTCATTTTATTTGTTTGAGATGTGTACCGAATTAATCTCTGAATACCTTTTGTAGCTTTTTCTGGTCTTGTCTGTTTTAGGCAAATCACAAATAAAAATTCTTTTTTGTCTTTTAAATGTTGCATGTTCAACTCGACCTGTAGCAATTTCTTTTAATCTAAATTTTGATTATTTGTGTCCATTTGTAATTACTTCAAGGGCTCTCCCATGTTTGACCGTATAGATGGTTGTGAATATGTCTTCATCTGGCGAACGTCCGAGGCCTGCCCTATCAGGAAGTCACAAGGTAAAAACGTCTGTGACAGTGGACAGAAACTGTTCCTTAAGGTTAAACATAGAGACAAAATCTGTACATTTTAGCATTTGATCCACCATGGAAATGGACAATAAATTATCCGAACTTTCCCTCATAGGTACTGACTGTCGAGTTCGTGACCCTAAGAGTGGCTATGAATTTGATCTGAGCTCTCTGAAGGGTAGAGATTACTTCCTAAATGCTGCCAAGTACACTTACTATCTTTCAATTTGCGGCGGACTCCAAAAAGATGTTTGCACCCACAAAAAGACAGGTGAAACTGTCTCCTCCTGCCAAGTTGCCGGAGGAAAACATAAGATCGCAGGTATGAAAAGACAGATTAAACATTACACTGTATAAGAAACTCTGTCATTTTTACAGTACTCGTGTTTTAAAATTTTCGCTCGTGTGAACACAGGAATGGCAAACCAGGTGCTAACTTATGTTGGAGACCAGATCATCCTGAACTACACCAGTGGAGAGATCTGCCATAAAGTTTATGAGAGGTCTACCAATATCTACTTCTCCTGCAACCCTGACAGGAATCCTGTAAGTTTAACACACACAGAAATTCTGCTCCTCCTATGTAGCTTTGAAGGGGTTGTTAACAGTGAGCAACAGATCAGATATCTGTAAGACTGACTGGTGACTGAGTGACAGTTTTGCACTTGGAGATTTGTGGTTGAAAGAATCATCCTGTGGTTTGTCTCCACATAAATGACCACTGTGTTTCAGGGCCTGCCTTCTGCACACATTACTGTTAGTTGCAGAATTGATCTCTGAATAGATAAAAAATATAAACAAGATGTATACAAAAAAAAAAATAAATTAAACCAGGTCCAGGAATGCTGTAGGTCTTTTTTTTTTTTTTTTTTTTTTTTTTTTTTTAACACATAATGTTGGGCCGTTATTTTTCACGACACACAGAGGTCTTCTAAGCTCTTAAGCAATTGTGTCTAATGCTACTTGACTTTTTCAGGGAGAACCGGAGTATATTAGGGAGACTCCAGACTGCACCTATTTGTTCAACTGGCCCACTGCACTGGCCTGTGTCCCAGTCAAGACCACCAGCTGCTCTTACAAGTAAATCGTCCTCGTGTCATTATTGCCTTCCAATTTTATGTTCTAAAAGATAAGGGTGTGTGTGGGTGTGTGTGTGATGTGTGTGTGTGTGTGGTGATGTGAGTGTATGTGTTTGTGTTTGGGGAGTGCGTTTGTGTGACCTCCTGCTCACCAAAAGGGATCATAAAAGCAGGAAGATTACTAAGCAACAAACAGAACCCTCACATAGATCCCTACAATAAAACACTTCAGCCTCCCCCAGCAACAAACTGGCTGGAGAGGTGACAAAGGAACGTCTTTGATCCTACAGTTTGAACTAAGACTTACAAATTTAAGTAACACAATGACAACATTTAACAATTTGACTCCAACACACGGACTTCTTTTTTTCTTATAGTGTATGTAGTTTGTGTAACTTAGTAGAATTTAATTATCATTTACAGAAAGGACCACAGTTCAGAATTTTCTCCTTTTTTCCTTTTCTCTTGTCAGTGATGATCAGGGTCGCTCGTACGACCTCTCACCTCTGGCTATGGACTCTGGGAACTGGGAGGCGGAACTTCCCACTGGGGACACGAATAAACAGTATTACATTAACGTCTGTAGGTCGCTGGTGAAGCAGAAAGGTTGGTGTAAAGGATACAGTAATGTCATTACATCTACCTCTGGTTTAGAGTTTAAATAATAGAATTAACAGTGCCCAATATTTTATGAATAATTGAAACCATGAAATCTGCTTCTCACTTGCTACAGACCCGTAGGAAGTTCCCTCATAAGCGTCATGCCTGAAGGTGAGATGAATATGAGATCTGGGTAGGTCACATTTTCTGGTCTAGTAGGGACGGAAATGTCCTAATTGCTGCAGTACACCAGCGGCCTATTCTTGTCTATGATGGAAGCCTGCAAATGGACAGTATTATCCGCATTCCAGTGTGACAAAAAACATAAGTATGGTTTATGAAAGCGTACTCAAAGATGAGCAGTAAAAGTTTGTGTGCAGTCGAGTTCCTTGTAAAACATTGCATATATCAGTTGTTGAGCATCAAAATGGCTTTCTAAACCACAGTGAGGGAGAATATGATCATGTAAGAAGAGGCTCACTGCTTTTCACACGTAGTATGAATTTGAGTTATTAAAACATATAAAAAAATAAAAAACTGATAATATATAGTATGCCCCACATAGAACTCTCGGCCTACTCTGATCTCTGACATTGAAGACTGTGTGTACACCTTCATGTGGAAAACAGCTGCTGCCTGCCCTCTAAATAGTGTCCAGCATGACAACTGCAGAGTCACCAACCCTGCTACAGGTCAGAAACACACACTTTCTCCTCATATCATCTTTGTTTATTTTGATATACCTGCTGGAGTAATAAAAGGAGAATGTTATGGTAATATGCATTTAAATTTAAGTTCTCAAAAAGCATCTGCTTTCCCTTTTTATTCCTCTTTATGTCTGCTGATCTCTGGTATTCTCTGAAGAGTGTGTAAAGATGTGTACAAGTTAAATATCTATTTCTAAATAGCCGCAGTGCTAAACCATGACTTCTTCCATAGGTCATTTATTTGACCTGAACCCCTTGAAGAAGAATGAGGGTTACACTGTGCACCATCATAAGGACCAGAAGATGGTGTTCCGCATGAACATCTGTGGATCTGTGGCCAACACTGGTTGCAGCCCTGACACTGGTACGTCACTGCAATCGGCGAGTTGTTAATTTAGCCGCACCACATTTCTGGATTATATTAGCCAATTTCTGATTACAAAGAAATGAAAGATCTACCAAGTTGAGAAGTATACTTGGATTATTTTAATTCTATGAATTGTGAAAAATCAGCAGTGGTGGTAGCTTTTGGTATGCTGCTTCACATATTTCTCTGGTCCAGGGCCTCTCTCAGTTGAATATTATACAATTTGGCGCAGCAGATAAATTTGACTCTGTTGTGCAATCATGTCGATGGAAGTCTAGCAGATCATTCCTCTTCAGTCACTGAGACGATCAGAGGTCTCTGTTATGTCATCATTGAATCAGAGTGTATACAGGAGTCACTTTCAGGCAATCAGTTCTGCTTTTAACCAGTCAGTTACTTTATAAAAAAAACAAAGTGCCTCTGTAGTTAGGAGAGATTGCTTCCTTCAACTTTCATCTGGTTACTGTTTAGTCTTGATAGATATTCAGAAACTTTATGAAACGCCAAGAACGTCATAACTGTTTGTCTGCAACACAAGCAACGAATGAAACCCAAACAGACACTTGAATTTCCAGGTTCTCTCAAATTATTGACCGCTCGCTTACCAGAGAGTTAAAAAATGGTCTGGATTTGTAACTGATGATGGCTATGCTAAGAAATGTTTAATCAGCATCAGATACACAGTGGGGGAGAATAATATGTGGCAATACAAGTGCAGTAAGGTCATGGTTCGAATGCTCAACAATGGGATATATTTGCAGTCCTGAAAAAAATACTATTAATTAAAGTAATAATAAAAATGAATCCCAGAGTCTGAGCTGAATTTGATCACTCACTCGCTAAGAAATATAAATATTTCCCAAAAAACTTTGAGCGTTCAGCAGATTTCCAGCTGGTAGAACAGATCTATGGAATATTTATATTTTTGTGTTTTACATTTAAAGCTTTCTGAATGATCTCCATGAATATGTGTTATAGCTGTGTGCATTAAGGAAGGCAGTGATGTGGTCAGTGGTGGTAAGGTGAGCAATAAGCTCTCATACAAGGACCATGTTCTGGAGCTCACCTATGAAGAAGGAAGTCCATGCCCTGCAAACCGTAGCCTCACCCACAGCACCGTCATCAGCTTCATCTGCAGGTACATTTTTCTCCATTTGCATCTTAATTTTCATCTATAACTACGTCAAGCATAGAGCATTCTCAGGAATCACATTTTCTCAAACCTGCGTTGTTCAGGAATAGCAAACTGAGATTTAAAGTGCCCCTTAAGAGAAAATTCATACCTGTATACATCGTGATACTGTGTGTCATTTGTTTCCTCCAATTTTCCTAAATATAAAACTAACTTGAATTAATCCTTTATTTCAGAATCTGGTAGTGATGGAAAAGCTAGTGTGAGAGCTTTATTGATGAAGTAGTGCTTCATCTTTTAAATAAGAGTAAACTCACTACAAGTATTTACAGATTTGTTAAACGCCTTTTTAATGCAACCTTGGTGATTTTAATATATTTATTAAGAATAAACGAGTGAATGTTGTTTGTTTGTTTGAATGTTTTGTGTTTGTGCAGGCCAGCTAGCATGAGCTCAGCCCCCTCAGAGCCAGTGCTGATTGGCTCAAACACTGAAATGTGCACGCACTTCTTCGCTTTCCACACACCGTTGGTTTGTGAGCAGCCTGTAAGTATGTTTGTGTGAGAGAAGACTCACCAGTCCATCACAGGTGGAAAAGGAATGTACTTTTGTAATAAGATTTAAAAATAAATAAAGTTAGTGTTTTCCCCTTGTAGTAAATTAAGTAGAAAAGTGCTGTATAAAAACTACTCCAGCTCCCATGAGTACTCAAAGCGCTTGTCTCATTCACCCATTCATACAAGCACCTTAAGTGCTTTCTAGCTAACAATTAGCACACCAATGGATGCAACAGAGTGAACCTTGGTGTCACTACATGCACACATGCAGACCCCAACCTTCAGATTAGTAGACGACCTGCTATACGGCCTGAGCTACAGCCTCACAGCTGATGAAAAATCATAAATGATTATAGCGTGTTTGTGTTTGCTGTGATATAACCAGCTGCTTACTGTTCACTGCACAGATGAGGGAGAAAATTGTTTAGACAGAAAGACTGCATACAGTCAATACAGCCTGTTGTTGCAGTGCTTCCTTTATCTTGAAAAGCTGTTTTGACATACTGCAGTTCAGTTGGAAAACAGGGTGTGCTCTTTCCTAATATGGCACATAATTTCTCAGAGAGAAGCAAACTTAAGTTAACAGAGGCAGACAGGTCACCTGAAGTCAGCTTCTTGGGGTCATCAAAGGAGCGGGGAATGTCCAATGATAAGCAGATGTCCCTGAAGCTTTTGTGTAGTCTCTAAAAGTTTGGTAACATTAGAAAATAAACATGGTTGAACTCCTGGACTCTAAAGTTGTAATTGTTTGATGGCTCATGACTTACAGTATAGTTTTGTGCTCTAAAAAGGGATTTTTCTTTTCTGCTTTTCCTTTAATAAAAAGGTAACTTATTCAGTCCAGAACGGCTCTGCTCTCATAGACCTGACTCCTCTGATTCATGTCAGCGGATACTACACAGCAACAGGTCAGTGAGACACAGGTTCACCTCTCACACCTATAGATATAGCAGAGTTGCATCATTTTGAGTTAAAATGACGAGTCCCTGTACAACAATATGCACTGTGTCAGTCCTTAACAGTCTGCATGTTCCTCCTTTGAGAATAGATGACGACATTGACCCGGATAACCCAGACTTCTACGTCAACATCTGCCAGCCTCTAAACCCCATCCCTGGGGTCAACTGCCCACCTGGAGCCGCTGTCTGCATGGATCCAAATGACGGACCACCTGTGGTGAGTTCTTTGACAAATGCTGTCCTTTACACTATTTAAAAAAAAAAAAAAAAAGTTTAATTGCTTTGATCTGCCTTACCAAGGCAGTGACATCACAAGGACTTAATGTTAATAAAATAATAATTTTCATTATTGTCTCTTGAAGGAAATTGGTCGCACCACCCGTGGTCCAGAGCTCAACAAATTAACAAGGGAGGTATCCATCACCTACAACAGCTCAACAAAGTGTGCTTTGGACCCTCTACAGAACTACACTTCAACCATTGTCTTTACCTGCCGGAGAGGCCTCGAGCTGGTCAGCAGAGCTATATAATAAGAGTATTTACTTTTTGCCTGTTCTCTTTATCCTGGTTATTTTTTAACTACTTTCTATCTCTGAACAGGGCTCTCCGCAAATGCTGAGGCTGCAGGGCTGCATCTATTTCTTTGAGTGGCCAACCCCGATAGTCTGTTCAGATGCCACTAACATCAGCGGCTGCCAGCTTACTGACTCTCAGCTCCAGTTTACATTTGACCTGTCAAACCTCTCCAAGGAAGTCCAGGTGAGCTGATGATATACTGAACACTTTCTAACCAGAGGAAGTCTATTTGATTCAAAGGTTTCACTGTAACAGAAATATTCTTTGTTTAGAAGCATAGGAAGGTCAGAGCTCTGTGTGTATGTCTAGGTAAACGGGAACTCGGGTACGTATCACATCAAAGTCTGCGGCTCAGTGGAAGTACCGGCCTGTGAGCAGAGTGCAGTG